GTTTGGTTATTTTAGAACATGGGACTCAGTTTGGGAGGCCAGGTTTACTGGAGGCTGGTGGAGCTGGTCTGACAAGGGGAAGAGCTGCTTTGGCAGGAGATTTGTCAGGCTGGTCAAGGCAGCTTCAAACTAGATGCACTGGAGGAGAGGGGCATCGATCCAGTCAGTTGCCAACACCTATAATAAATGCTTGGTGTGATGCAGAGCTATTTCAGCCACTCCAGCTAATGAGTTGGCTTTATTTGGAGCTCAGCTCATACGGCTCTATACAAACGCCTGTCGTATGGGGAATAAACGAGAGGAATTAGAGATGTGTGCATGAATAATCCATCTCCCAGCTCAACCCCTCACACAAGCCTTTCCTTTTCCCATGCAGCCTTTGCACAGAAGGATGGCTGTTGCGGAGGTGACAGCCCAGGGGAGAATCCAAGGGGCCCCAAAATCATAAACAACCCCAGGCTGTTCCTCACCCTAACCCCGTGGGACATGAGTAGGTTGCCAATCCATCCCAGGGCAGCAGAGCTGCAGAGGCCGCTTTTTATGGCCTGGCCAGGAATTTCATCCAGCTCAGTGTCTTGATTTGGACAGGACTGTAATCTCTCCTGCAACATTTCTGGTTGTTGCTTTGGCCTCATACTGATTTCAAAGGACATGCTGAAATGTTACGCTTGTACTGTGCTGCGCTTCCCAGGGAGATAAACAGAAGCAATGGTCAGAGATGGGATACGGGGTGGCTGACTGACCCCTTTTCACTGAGGAATGTCTGCCAGGTTCCAGCCTGTCACTGCTGCCTTGGTGTGCTGGGGGGCATATGGTCATACTGACTGGTTGGGATGGAATGACTGGCCAGCCAGTGCTGCAGACCTGCCTGCAATGAGGTGGATGCCAGTGGCCACTGCCTCCTCATCTGCACCTGACCTCAGTGATGCCATGCCAGCAGATCAAACACTGCCACGCTCTCAGGAACAACAATTTTCAGGGCTGAGGTTCACAGGGGTCATTGCTGGGTTGATTATTTCTCTGAAATGGTGGAGAAAGCAAACCCAGTTCCTGTTCAGCTGGGAGGGGAAAGCGCCCATTCATGTCTGCGCCCAGCACTGCCAGGAGTGAGCTAAGACACTGTAAGAACCTCGTTTCTCACTGGCATCACTGTGAAACAGGAATGGTGTTTTGGGGCACTGTTTACTTTTTAAAGAAGGTGTTTGCTGCTGCAGCAGCTTTGCTCTTTCTAACCTCTTCCCACTGATGATTTTCTAGCAGTTGGCCATGTCTGACAGTAACACCACCGTCCCTGGGCACAAAACCCCATATGCTGACCATGATCTGGCAACTTGATGAGCTGATTTAGAGGAGCAGAAGTTGCTCAACCCCTCTGGTTCTCCCCTCCCTCCTCACTCACAGCAAGAACCCCTACCCTGGGCATCCCTTACCACTGTCCTCCTCTCCAGCTGAGATCAAGCCCCAGGTGTTTGAAGACTTTTCTATGAACTTGCTGCCAAGAATTCTGGACAAAGATATTCTTATCAAGGATAAGAGCTTGCTTTTCTTTTTTTTTTTATATTGTGCTAGAGAATGCACTTTGACCTAATTATTATTATTATTACTTTAGGCTGGGAAAGACAGGCAGTTATTTTCGTGGAAAAACCCCAAACGAAGAGACCTCCTGACATCTCATGTCACTAAAATAGACTAAAATAGCTGTGCTACCTCTGCAAATTACATGACACAATTATTTTCTATATATGTGTCTACCATAGAAGGGAGTTTACATAATATTCTTGTCTAATGAAGTGTCAAAGTTTAGCAGTTCAAGCCAGTTTGTGGCAAAAAGTTAGAGGTTGTGGAGGAGAAGTCTATTATGGCACTAACACTAATTAGCATCTGCTAAGACCATGTTTGAGTACATATAAATACAGGGCATTTGAGATGACCATCTCAGAGGACAGAGGAACAGTGCTTGGAGGTGGCAGCAGCCCAGGGTGGCTGAAAGCATGCAGCCGCTCTCTGCAGGTCCCACCCCAGCACCACTTCCATTTCCCACCACTTCTGCCCCAGCCTCCTGCCTGCCCCGAGGGTTGGTACCTCTCCACTTCAGGAGGTGGTTTTGCAGCTGCCGACAGACTACAGACACAAACGCTGCGCAATGTAGGATGAAGTGGCTTAATATAGTTTATTTTCCTGCCTTAGCAAGAAAGGTGAGGGCTTCCTGCCGCAGAGAAAGGGCATGTCTGTCATGCTGTGAAAAACACAGGAAGGGCCTGAAACCTTAAGGTGTGCTGTGACCCCCACAGCAGGCAGTAGTGAGCTCTTAGAGAGGCTTTCTACCGGTCACGCTGCTTCCTCCCTCATGCTGATACAGAGAGGTCGCTGCAGAGAAGGTCAAGGCTTCCTCTTGCTCCTGTCCTCTCCCAGCAATCGCAGCTAGCTGAAGGCTGGTGGAGACAGTGCAAATAACATTCACAAACTGGCAGTGGCAAAGCTTATATAAAAGGGGAAAAAAAAAACAGACTGCTGTAAGAATTTTTGATTATTTTCTGATAGCCTCCTGTTTCCTACAGCTATGCATTTGCAGAACATTTTCAAAGCAATTTCTTTATGATGTGACTTAATCTATTTTGTGTTTTCAAAGGGAAATATAAATCAAAGTCCAAGAGTGAAAGGGCTGGGATCTCAAGCTTTTAAAAGCGGCTATTGCATATCAACAACAGCTACTTTTGATCAACAGTTTTTGCTATGTATTTTGTGAAATGGCCACAGAATACTCAAATGAGCATTAAAATTATACTTCCATTACATGCATCAGAATGCTCTGGGCTCTAAATGATCTGCTATGATGTCTACTTGGAATAATCATTAAGCTTTCTACAAAAACTGACCACATTTCAGCCATTCTCTTAGTGCGCTGATGAATATAGTTTTCTGCAGGCATTTGTCAACTGCACTTTTTGTCTCCCTGGGCTGTATTTATCCTTTTGGTTTTCCTTCTCTTATTCTTTTCATTTTTATGGTCCCACCAGTTTGTGTCAAAGAAACACAGTATCAAATAAGATCGGACATGACCACCCTTGATTCAACATGCAGGATACATTTGCACCAGCCTTTACTAGTAAGGAATGTACAGCAAAGCACAAGGAGATCAAACCTGTTAAATTAGAAGGGGAGAATCTATTTTTCCATGGAGAGAGAAAAAAAAGCAAAAAGCATACTAATTGCATTGTGGAGGTATTTTGTGGAACTGGTACAGTTGGTCTCGGCTATAAACTGATTCGAAATGCTGAAAACTTAAAACTTACATTTATTTTACAAATTCTGGTTCAACCTATCAGAGCATTATGTCGAAGTATTAACAGTAAAATAGTACTTCATAAAAATTCCTGTCTAGCAAACATATAGAGGTCTGACTATAATGAAATCCCAAAAAAGTGGCCATCATCCTGCTTCTGTACAAGGTAAGTGTCCTTTCTGGTTTGCAATCAATAACAGGTTACCTGATTATACACTTTATTATGTCTCATACTGTAAGGTTAGCCACTGGAGGCTGACATATGAACAAATACACGCGCTTGATCAGATCTTTTACAGAAACACACCTTTCAAGAGAGAAAAACAATTAGTGTGTGTTATAGGTTACCGATTTACAATTTACATCATAAATCAATGTCTGATTATTTTAATGTGAAATGTTTTTAGCTTCATTTTATTGCACTGACGGTTTCAATAACGCTATAATTTGCTCAGATGAAGAGGTGATTGGACAGCTCTTACAGAAATTTTTAATTACTGTCATTAGTGGCTGCAATCTTACTCTTTTCTATGAAGCTTAGATACGTGTTATTGCATTGTGCTACAGGTACTCTGGGGTCATGAGAATCCAAACTCTCCCTTTCCTCTGAAATACTTGCATCTATAAATCTGTGTCACTGTGCAAGTCCCATCACAATAATTATGAGCATCACACAAACATTAATTAATGTATCCACATGCTATTTTAGGTAGGTAGAAATGTACTGCCCCAATTGGCGGGGGGGGGGGGGGGGGGGGGGGATGGGGGGATGGGGGGTGGGGAAGGGAAAAAAAGGGGAAACTAGAGCATAAAATGTGTTGTCCATAGTTAAGACGGGAAGCGTGTAGGAGAGCCAGCAGGAGTCCTGTCTCCAGAGAGAAAAGCTGTGTTGCAGTGCCAACAGCTGAAGTCTACAGGGTGACATGGAAGACAGTGTTTGTCCTTCATCCCAGCAGACTAAAGGTCGCATTTACTGCTTGTGACAATGGAGCTATTGTTGTTAGAGGCCCATGTTATTGCTACTGCTTGAAGCTCCCAATATATAAACAAGTTCATTTACCCCAGATAGATGCAGAAAGCATCGCACGCTCGATCTACTACAGGGCCCTCTTTAATTTCAGCAGATTCCCTCAGCAGGTCTTCCAAGGGCCACTACTATGTACTGGCAACCCATTTCAAGGAAAGATGAGAATTTAAGAGACTGTTTTTTTGGAAAATTCTGATCCCTATATACTCCAGATAATCTTCGCTGACATATGAGGGGTGACCTCAATCCGCAGCTGGGCAGCAGGGAGATGGGCAGACTGGTAACACTGGACAGGCAGTGCAGGACCTGGACCAGGAGACCAAATGGGCAGAAATATTTTCTTCCACTCATGTTAGCTTGAGTTAAATGTATGTGAAAATGCAGTGCTCACCTGGATTCAGCTCTGCATGTCCTCAGCTAAAAATAAATACATAAATAGCTGGATGTAGGACAGTGGTGCTGCCTATGTCTCAACAAACATTCAGAAACCTTTTCTATCATGGTACAGCCAGTTGATAAATTTGTTCTGCCCATCCACTGAGGGCATCTGGACCCTGCGTAGTAGAACAGGGGTGTGAAGAGCGTGGAGAAAACATGGGGAATTAAAACAGTGGAAATGACTGGGGTGCAGTTCACAACACCCATCTCCTGAGTTACAGAACTCTGTTTTCTGGTACCCTGCACTGCACCATGGGAAGGTAAGCCCCTGCCCTTCACATACTTCCCATTTCTTTTCTCCCTTTCCTGCCCCCTTCTCCCCAATCCTCTGTAAAATATATGAGCTGACATACACAATTTTCAATAAATTAATCCTTTTTCACAATATTTTTTTTTTTTTAAAGCTGGAAGTATGGTTCACAACATGTCCTGTCTGGCGTCCACACAACGTCCCTGCTCTGGCCTATTAATTTTAAAGCCATTTGACTACATATGTTGTTTGAACAATGCTGTTTCCATTAAGCATTAAATGGCAAATTAACTGCAGTCTGAAGTATGAATTCAGCTGCCCCCATCAGTATTATATAACATTTCATATGATGCTCTTTAAAAGCTGTGAAGGTCTGCCACTTTTCTCATAAAATCCTGATAATCATGATTCAAGATGTTTAGGGCTGTTACTGCTGAAAAACTGGATCCTTTCTTCCGTGTAAGTAAAATGTATTTGTAGATTTTTTTTTTTTTTTTTTTCTGAAAGAGGTAAAACTACATCAAAGTTCAAGAAACACCTCTCCTTCCCATCTGAGCTGTCTTGTTTGGAAGCCATCTGTGTGGCAATCCTCCACTAATGTGGATTTAGAGGAATTGAGTGTGGTCTGGTCTCTGGAGAACTGGGTTTAGTTCATCTGCTTTTGTGTGTGTGCTGAGAAGCCAGCGGTGCAGGTAAGTATGTAATTACAGGCTTACTTAAAATGGAGATTTTTTTACACGACAGATTGAAGCGTGCGCAGGAAGAATAATGCCGACAGAAAACAGGAAACCTCCATGAGGGCTCTTGTACTCTATTGTGCTGCAGCCGATTTGCAGGCTTTGGCTTAGAGACAATTCGTGGTTTGCTTTACAGCAGCGCAGGTTTGTGTGCGGGCTGCACGTGCATGGGGCCTCCTTTCCTCCCCCCATCAGAAGGCACCTGGAAATGCTGAGCAGCTACAGTTGCACTGGTATTGAGCCCTGCTGAAACCCCAGGATAAGCAGGGGATTATAGCAAGCACCAGGGCCACAGATCCCGTATAGCTTCCTCAAGGCTTCTCCCGTTACTACTGCTGCCAAATACTGGTGGTGCAGCAGATATTTTGCTGTGCCTAACAGCTGTATCTGATTTAGTGCTATATTACAAACACTACATAAAATATTTTACAATGACTGCCGATCTATTTTCTTCTGGCCTGTCTTCAAGTAATATTTTGTTTGCAGAGCCAGGATCTTTGTAACCCCCTGTTGTGCTGCTGTACTCCCATGGGAAGCATCACCCAAGGTCCCACTCCCAACGCTGAGCTGTGCTCCTGCTGCACTGGCAAGTAACACTGCCTTTACTGCGGGAGCACAGCGAAGGGAGTGCGTTGCTGGGCGTCTTAACCCACTGCAGCCCCGCTTTGCAGGGCTTCACTCCACCGGCGAAGGGTGTCCAGGGGACGCGGGGGCTGCCCAGGACACAGGCCTTTCCTGCGTGGAGATACCCGCTCTGTCCCTGAAAACTGGCGAGCTTTGGGGTTTACTTCAGAGCGGTGGAAGCAAACCCAGGTTTGCCGTATAAAATCCAATTGTTTTCAAAAGCGGGAGCGCTGCAGGCAACGTGGTCACCCCGACCCTTCATCCCCCCCCAACCCCCGCCCAGCTCGGCACGGGGCGGTCCTTCCCCCCGCGCCCCGCCCCTCTGGCTCCCGCGGGGTTCCGACCGGGAGCTTTTCGCGCCACAAGCCAGGCCCTTGCAGCTCCACAAACTCCGCACCGCGAGTAAAAGAAAAAACCCGTGGCCCCCACACTAGCTCCTCCGGGGCACCCCAGGGAGAGCTGATGGAGTTCTTAACAGGGGTGGGCGCCGGGGGCGGGATGAGCATGCGGGGAGCCACATCACAAGGGGGGTGTCAGCTGCATCTGCCAGGACGCGGGCGCCAACGCGGGAAGAGCGCCGTCGAGCCCCGCCTCCCGCAGTCCCAGTCGCTTTGGCGCGAACCTTCAGTTCCCGCTGGTCGCCCAGCAGCCGCCAGCATGGGTCTGTCGCGCACGCAGGTGAGCGCTGCCCTGCGGCCGGGGGCTGCCCTCCGGGCTCGCAGTACGGCTGCGGACCGCTGCTGCCGGCGGGGCTGCGGCGCTTGAGGCTGCGCTCTCCCGGCGGCCCTACGGGGGGTGGTGGGGTGGTTGGTGTGGTGTGTGTGTCTCATGGCCGGGGCAAGCCGGGCTGTGCGGAAGCCGTAGGGATCAGGTGAGGCCAATCTTTGGGCTGGTCCTCGCCGGCCACTCCAGGGTGGGGGATGAGGTGTGAGCAGCCCCGCCCTGCAGACCGGCAGCCTCCTGCCCCGCCGCGGTGCTGAGCGTCTTTGTGCATGGCTGGGACCTGGGGCACTGCTGCGCTGGGCAGGAAGGGGGGGGGGGGGGGGGGGGGGTACGCGCGGCCCGGCAGCAGCCGCACTGAGTGCGCCCGCCTCGCCGCTGCCCCGCTACGGCTGGGGGGTGAGGGCGGCGGCGCGCGGGGCCCGCTGCGGGTGGGAAGGAGGAAGGTACCTCAGGGCTTGGGGGGGAGAGCCGTGAGGTGTATGTGTGAGTGTGAGGGGAGGGGACGGCACCATCTTAGCAGGGGAGTGAGGCGGGGAGAGCTGCCCGCGCCCCGGCCAGGGGAAGGGCGTGTTTGTGTGCGGGGGCGATTCCGGGTCTCCTGGGCTGGGCCTCACAGTGCTGGGCGGCCCCGTACTGTTGTGGGGCCGCCGCAGCGGGATTCCTCCGGCTGGGCTCCCCCTCAGGCGACGCAAAAGCGGCCCCTTTTGTGCCTGGGCCGCGCCGAGCAGTTTTTATTTCCCCTCAGCACCAGTAAAACTGAAGCGTGGGCAAGGCCCGGGGGTGCTGCGGTGCTGCTCCCCCGACAGGCAGTGAGCTGAATGGTGCTGGGGAGAGGGCGGAGGGCTTCAAATTGCACCGGCTAGTTGCTGCTTAAACCCCGATTGTAAAGTACTTGACACGGTGGAGCCCATGATCTGGTACTGGTGAGAGCGCTCTACTTGGGCACCATCTAAGTGTGCGTGCAGCAGGCTTCCTTTGGGGCCCTGTGAAATGAAAACCTGAAGACCATCAAAAATGTATTTCAAAGTGGTAATAAAATTAACAAAACAGCAAGCTGCCATGTCTAGAGCAGTTCAAAGGTCCTGTGGATAGGATTCTCAAGAGCTGCAGTGCGTTTAGTGTTTGCCTCAAACTAAAAGTAATTAAGTCAAAGCAGATTGCTAGGTACTGCTTGTGTACTTGTATTTTTTTCCCAGCATTGTCTATAGTGAGTGGGGAAGGGTATGATTTTTGTGTATATTGCTTAAAAAAAGGTATTTCTAAAACTGAAAGGAAATCATCTATAGCAATGAGCAGAAGTGTATCAGAGTAGAAATTATTCCCATTTCTAATTCTGGGAATTACTTCAGAGCTGATGATAATACTGTTGACTTGTATTCAAGACTGTTAAACATCCTAAAATGTTCAAACCTCCTAAACTTCAATTTAAGGATCTAGTGTGCTGAAGTAGGTCTCTTTTAATAATGGTGTTCCCGTTGTCCTTTCGCAGCGTCAACGTTCAGGAAGGAAAAACTTCACAGCCTTCCGAAATACAAAACTGATCCCCATGGAAACATCCTCATCCTCCGATGACAGTTGTGACAGTTTTGGTTCTGATAATTTTGCAAACACAGTAAGTACAGTACCAGAACAAATAGAGCTGAAAGCGCAGTGCTAGTAAAGCTTGCAAACATGTAAAGCTAGTAAATGTTTTTTGTTCATGATTAGAACAGTTTGCTCTGCATGTTTTTGTAAAGTAGTTACTAATCTATGCTATATGCTGTAATTTCATTTCACTCTTAATTTGTGCTTCCATGTGGTAAGTGTTGGAAACAGTTTAGCTATTTATTCTAGCCTTTGGAATGTCACCTAACCTGACATGCCTGAGGGTGGTGAGGAAGTGGAATTATGTTGCTCAGGGAAGTTGTGGATGCTTCATCCCTGCTGGTGTTCAAGTCCAGGATGGATGAGTCTTGGTTTGACATGCTTTAGTGCAAGGTGTTCCTGCCCATGGCAGGGGGGTTGGAACTGGATGATCTCAATGTCCTTTCCAACCCAAACCATTCTATAATTTGCAGCTGTGGTTCTGAAACACCTTTTTTTAAAAAAAGTTGTTTGCTTATACTGCACTTGCAAATGTGAATAACTTTCTGTACAATTTAAGTTAAAGGATGTTTTATTCTTCATAGAAATGCAAGTTTAGGTCAGATATTGGAGAAGAACTGGCCAAGATTTTTCATGAAGCATCTGATGATGAATCGTTCTGTGGCTTTTCAGAAAATGAGATTCAAGATGCATTGGTAAGACAGTTGATTTTAGTTTGCATTTTTAAATTTAAATTATTAATAATTGAGAAATAATGGCAGCTTCAGCTGAAAGTCAAATGTTGTCATAGAGCAGCATTGTCTTATTTAATGTACAGTCTAAGTAACCATAGCTTCATTTTTTTTTTGTCTCCATAAAAAGTCCTCAAGCTCCTGAGCTTTGCAAGTTCAGAATAAAATCTGCTGTATGGATTTTGAATTATAATAACTCTTACAACTATCCTTGCTGGATGTTACTCTATTAAACTCAACATTTCTGGTTTCCTCAATATGAAATGTTATGCTAGCCCACAGATTCCAGCAAACCTGAGAAAAATTTCTGTGTCTGTTGACATGCAGTCAGACCTGCACTCTGACAGTGTAACAGGAAATGCTTTCTACTTTAGCAGTAGAGAAATAGTGATAGGTGGTGAAATCGCCTTCCTGCTTTTCCTTGACATCACTGCAAGAGCAGTTTTGTTGCTTAGAAAGACACCCAGTTGGTGTTTAGTAGAGAAAACAGAAGTAGTAGCATGTTTGGTATAAAATAGTCACTTCGTAGTAACTTCAGAGCTTGCTGAGAAATGGCTAGAAAAGAGTAAGGTCTGGCTAGAAGAACAGAGTTCAGTAAGACACAACTGTAAAGAGGGTAAGTGGGAAACAAAGCTGGAATAGATGTGTAAGAAAAAGGAATCAATAACTACACATAATGGGCAACCAGAATTGCATAGCTGGTTTAATAAAAGCCCTGTGCAAATAAGGATTGCCATTTGAGGCTGATGGTCTGTGCATATGAAGCAAGAAGCCTGTTTTTACCTATGACCAAAATAAGGCTTTCTTACTGAGTGCAAGCCTGAAAGTCAAAGGCTGTTGCAAAATGGGCTTTTCACTAAAGAAATTAATTTGTCCTCACTAAACCCTTGGTTCTTTCCAAAGCTGTAAAGCAAAGTATCTGAATTCAAAGATAAGAGAATACTAGGATTTTATTCATAATTATTTCACTGACTGTCTCTAGAACGAAGTTTTTTCTTAGTATCTATCACTGATACTGTAAGAATGACTGTTCTTGATAGCTTACAAACTTGAGTTTGACCCTTTGCTGAGAACTGCATAGTGGCCTTTTCTACAGCCAAGTATGTTACAAAATCAAACTTTTTAAATGCAGTTCTCTTTCTCATACTGACGCACAAACTGTCTTTGCTATTAGACCTGCAAGTGACAGCTAAGACTGCTGCAGCTGAAACCAGCCTCCTTTTTCTGATGTGCCACTGCTTTGGCCAGATAGTCTCTTAACTACCCCAAACAAAAGATTGCTAGACTGTATTTAATTGCAGAGCAATTCACTTGGATTTATCTGCTTCTTTTCTGTTTGTTAACAGAAACTGGAATCGGATTCAGAGGAGAATGATATAAATGCTGAAAGTGACATAGCTCAGAGAAGGCAGAAATGCTCGGTTCCTTTAAAAGTAGCCATGAAGTTTCCACCTCGAAGGTCAGAAAGAAGGAAGGGTGAGATGGAGCCTCTTGCTGAAAAGCTGATGCCTGCTCCAGATTCAGACTCTGACTCTGAAGAAAATGGTGCCATGTTTTTAGAAAAAAGAGCTTTAAACATAAAGGAAAACAAAGCGATGGCAAGTACTCACCGTCTGCCTCGGGTCCTCCCCTTTTCTCCCCTTTCCCCTTGACTTACATAACTCTTTGGTGGTTCAGATTAACTTTAATGAGAATTTAGTTACTAGAACATAAATAAGACATTAAAGTAAAATTTAAGAGTGGTTGCCTTTCCTAAAAGTAACTGTACTTCTAGCCAGTTCTATTGTAATAGTCTGTCATAGCACATAAACACTGTTTTAAGGCTCTGCTTTTTTTCCTTTTTCTCTTGTTAGCTTGCAAAACTGATGGCCGAGTTGCAAAATGTTTCTGGTATCTTTGGTGGGAGAAAATCGTTGCCAACTGTCAGTCATGTAAGTATATATATTTAATATATTTGCCCTCAGATTTCTGAGCCAAATTCTAACATTACAGAGCAAGATTCTCAACTGAAAAACTTAATAAGCCTTGTAAATCAAAGTCCAGTTTAGAATTTTATTGGATCCTAAAACAGACGTCCGCATTGTGCAATTTTCTTTTGATTTGCAACTGAATAAAGCAGAGTAGATTAATTCATAAAGGTTAGGTGTCTCCACAGGCCAATAAAACTAAACAAGGTGCTGTGTAAAGAGGTGTTTACATAAAGGCCGGAGATAAAGGGGGCCAGCTCAGACTTTGAAGCTCAAGCCTGAGTATTTGGTGAGTTTGAAGCCTTGAAAGAAACCTTACATTTGGCCTAACTAGGTCCTTAAAGGAGGCTAGGTTGTAAGCTGGCAGCGTAATGAATTTCACTGCTAATTTATCTGTAAGCTATGTGAAGATGGGAACAACATTAGAAGTCACAATTTCTCATAGACACAGGTTCTTCTGCTGGTGCTTGGGGGACTTACTGTGTCATACACCAGTGTGGACACAAACTTGCTTTTGGCTATTTCTCTGCAGCTAGCAGATTGACTAAGATGAGTTTGCCTAGGGTGTTTTTTGCCTTGTGTTTCCTGATTTGGGACAGGCAGAAGACTTCATCGTTGGGAAAGCCAGAAGGAAGGCATGTCTGTTGGGGATGGAATTGATAGTAGGGACAGGAGCTGCTTGTTTTTTTGCCTTTTTCATTGGGGGCTTTTAAATTTTACCAGGGGTCAAGGCGACTTCCAAGGCATTCAGTGCCAAGAAGTGCTTTGAGGAGGAACCCAGACCGAAGTTGTCGGCCTCACACAAGATCCAGATCGCTGATTGAAGGTCCTCCTACTCTTTTACAAGAGGAGGAAGATGATGACCCATACGTCTTCGTGAGAAGAAGAAAGATGTCTGATGAATACCTGGAGGTATGTTGAGGTTCTAGTTTCCCTGTTGCAGGTTGATTAAGAAGGTGGTTTTCTATTGCTTCAAGAAAATCGCAATTCATACAGAGTTTACCAGGGTTATGAGTATGCTATGCCCTGGGAAGCAGTACAGAAAATACAATGTTGTATGTGTTCTTCATTTACCCTGCCTTATCCTTGAAAAATCACTCTTGCACTCCAGCAGGAATTAAGCAAGGTCCAGCACCATTTCTGCACCCTGAAGGTGACAGATCAAGCAAAGCTACTAAAGCTGTATCCATATCATATATCTTTGCAAAGAATCTGTTATCTCGTTTAACTATATGATGGGTATTTGAGACTTTGACGCTGCTTTGAACATTCACACCTTGTTTATGTAGCATTTTTGCTGAAACTAGTACTTACTGCAAGTGTCTTCACTGTTCAGCATGAAACCCGAACTCCCAGGAGGGGTCACCGTGGTGCCATGGCTTTTCCACATGTTGTGCGCCCAGTTGAGGAGATAACAGAGGAAGAGCTGTATAATATTTGTGGATCTGCAAGAGAGAAAGTATATAATAGAGCCACAGTAAGTATACTCAAACTTTGTGAAATACATACTTTGCGAAGTCATTTTCTTGTTATTCCCTGCTTGTGGTTTAGCATCAAACAGAACAGACTTCCTCTCATGGAAAGGAAGGGTGTGATTTTGGGGGGAATTTGTCTGAGGTCTTGAAATGTCATCATTTACCTTCTGAAAGTGTAGAATGGCCTTTACAAAGTTTTAACAGTTAGGTTGCTTCCATGCTGAAACAGTTTTCGTACTTAGGCGCTATCAGCTGAGGAAAGTGACTCACAGGCAGTGAAGATACAATGTTAAAACAGTCTTGGCTCAAAGTTACAAGGTGGCTTTCTGTTTTAGGTTAGGCACTGCCAGCTGCTGAAGAGATTGCTTGTTAAATGTTCTATTCCCCTAACTAAAGAGCCATCTTAAATGTCTTGTTTCCTGAACTACTTTCCCTGTGTTCTAGGGATCCACCTGTCATCAGTGTCGCCAAAAAACCATAGACACCAAGACGAATTGTCGTAACCCTGATTGCATAGGAGTGCGGGGCCAGTTCTGTGGGCCATGCCTCCGCAATAGATATGGGGAAGACGTCAGAGCGGCGTTGCTGGATCCGGTAAGACAATTCTGAATGTTGGCTTTATTGTGCTTAACTTGAGCAGAGAGGTGCATTGTTTACAGTGAAAAGAGTTTTAGCAGGATAGCTATTTACAGTGGTGTAGTATATAATGCTGTCCTGGTTTAATTCAAACTGAATCACACAACTTTGTGTTACGTAGAACTTGTCGTTACTTACTACTTCTGTAGGTTTATTTGCAGGAGTGAACTATAAGAGCAGAGCAGCTGCCAAAATGTTTTTTGTATTTGAAGCATCAGAATAGTGTTCTCTTTTGTCATGCATTAGTACTTAAAGCCCTATGGAAAGGAACTGTATTGTGGACAAAGTGCTGCTGTTGTGGGCTGTTGAAGTGGTGTGGGAGTTGAGCAGAGTGGAACGCTTCGTGTGGTTATGTGCAAGGCAGGCAAAGGAGAGGTCAGTCCTGTACAGGCTGGAGAATTTACACTCTTGCTCTAGTTTAGACTGCTTCTGCAGTGCTGATGTTCATTGCAGAACTTGATGCAGAGCAGGGCCCTCTTAAGTTGCAGGTGTGAATTGTGTCTGGCATTTCAGTTCATCTAAAAGGATGCTGTCTGTCCTCTCTCTAGACATGGAGGTGCCCACCATGTCGTGGAATCTGCAACTGTAGCTTCTGCAGACAGCGAAATGGCCGATGTGCTACAGGTGTCCTGGTCTATCTGGCCAAGTACCATGGCTATGACAATGTCCATGCCTACTTGAAAAGGTAAGTATGCTATTGTGTCAGTGGCATAGCTGTGCTCTAAAGAGGGATAAGCAGTTTAAAACTGGGAGAGGAGAGCTCTCTGCACCCTGGTTTGTCAGGTAGATCTCAAGATAACTTCCCCTGTGTTTATTGTCAAGCCTTCCACTAATTGTCAGAAGAGTTTTAACACAATGTTTTGCTATAAGCTAATTCATGTTTCTGCTTGTCTTTCAGTCTGAAACAAGAATTTGGAATGGAAGACTGAAGCCATGATTGCCTTCAAGTTACATACTCTTTCACCAATGTCCTATTATTGCCTACAATTAATTGTTTAATCAAATGCGATTACAAAGCCAGTGCCTTGCTTCCCTTTCCTTTTGGGTAAAAAGGGATAAAGGACTTTTACATATCTCAGTACATATCACTGTTTTTCTTGGGAAAACTGTTTAATGAAGGTCTCTGCCCATAGGCCATTGTTTTCTTTTTAAACACCTTTGCAAATCAGATAGCATCAGTCCTTGCCTTCATGGCAATAACTTCTTTTTTTTTTGTTGTTCCTGAAAGGAGATGGGGCTTTAAGCCATTAGAGTTTTATTCATGCAGTGAGATGTGCTGCAGGTTTATTTCTGCTTTGAAGTTGATCACAAAAAGGTAATAGATATTGTGAAAATTCAGGGCACTGTTCCCCACAGACCCAGTGGAAAGTACGTGCTTAACTCCAGGCCAGCTTCTGCAATACCGAGTTACTGAACATAAATGATCAAATAAAAACTAAGAATTCTCTAAAATAACATGTTCTTAAGTTCAAAAAGGAAGCCCTAAAAGTTGTAGCTGAGCAGTCTCCAAGCGCTAATACATGGTTTTATAGAGTACTCAAAGTGCACATTGGCCATTTTAAGGGAGATTCCCCAAGTGACTTAAAAAGTGCAGCAGAGACGGGGGGGTGACACTTTGTATTTTTGCTTAGATGAAAGGAGGCTGCTGCTAATAGCTTTCATAGCACCGGCACTAGCCTTACCTAGTGATGACAGTGATGTGAACATACTGGTGTACATTGTGAAGTGACCACTCTGTCTAAACCAGAATGTACTGTTTGATAAATTTATCGGGTTTGTGTGTTCTCCTCTTCCTGCTCTAGCTGAATCAGCATTGGTCCAGGGGAAGAGGAATGCTTTCAGGACCAGGGCTTGGTTAAGTAGAGGGGTAGTGGGTGTTGGGAAACAGCGAAGTGCATGAAAGATGGTAGCTTGCTGAATTTGAGTCTCTGGAAAAGGGATAATGACAGATCACTAGAGAGAGATCACTAAAATCTGAAGCCTGATATTTTTTATCTCTAGAAAGCCTAAAAGGTGTGAGCTTTCTAAGCTACAGTCCAGCTTAAAAGTGAGTTATTCTTCCAGTTGCATTGATCAGCATAAACGTGAATAGGTAACATTCTCAAGAGACATCCTCAACAGATGAGGAAGGGCAAGTGCCTCATCAAAAAAGGCTTTTAAAAATAAAGGGAGATGTAATGGGTTGCATACAGTTTGTGAGCACTTAAAAATGTGGTTTGTGCTGTGGTTTCCTCGTTAACAGTCCAGCCATATTTTTGTACCAGCTCTGCATGATTGTAGGATATTTTGCGTGATACTAATGAAGCATGAGTACAATAAAAACCGTTGGAGCTGAAGTATTCTATATTCTAACATGCTATGGGGATGGGATCTTGTATACTCAGTGCTGCAGAAAAGAAAATGCCATGAAAATTGCATCCAGAGAACCACAAAGTGTACAAATGTGCTTAGTTTGGTTATGGATACTTCTGTATAAGCTTTGTATAAGGTTTAGAATGCAATGTTATAAATAATGTACAGTCGAATAGCAGCAGACTCGACTTGCGTTTATTGAGCGCTAGAACAAAACATGGCTTTAGACTTCTCTGCTTGCACAGTATTTGCACTGTACATATACGTAATGATCCATGGTTTAGACCTTTCTGGGAATTACATTGGTGTGGATGGGAGGAGAGAGAAACCTGGAAACAAAAGGTATTTTTGTCTCAGAACTGCAGTTCTGTTTCACAAATCCCTGTCCTTTTGAAAATCTGTCCTTATCTTGTTTTTATAGTGTGAATAGCTGTGCAGTCTGAGGTGGAGAGTGCTCTACCCCCTAGGTACATTTCATGAAGAAAGAACTCTAGAAATACATATTCTGACAGATAAGGGCAATTTGTTTTTTTTCCCTCCTAATTGCTGATCTTGCCTTCTGATTGCTGTGTGAAAGGACTCTTCTAAAAGCAAACCCTTGCATCGTATAATGGAAACTGCTGTATTTAGACTCAGATCTGCAATGTTCTGTACAAAGTTTTATTTTGAAAATAAAAATTTTGTGAGATAGAATTTTTGCCTCAATTGTTTTTAAATAGCCCCTTAGAGCTGTACTTGGAATTTACGATCTTTCAGGTAAATGTTGCAAAGTAAAGGAGTTGGCTGCTCCCCTTGTACCTGGGGGAATAGTAGGACTAGGACATCTTTCTCTCCCCTGCCCTGCTGGCTCTGATATTCATGCTGCTTGGATTCAGTTGTTTGATACCTGGTGACTAACTTGTGACGGTAGAAATGTATAGGTTCAGGCCAGATACGGACTTTAAGCATGCGTGCTATGTGCTTACTCTTCTACTTATTCTATATTTTGGGGGGTTGTTTATTTTTTTAAGCAAGATGCGTATATCCTGAGCTGAGAAGGTTGAGGAGGATGCATCAATTTGAACACAAATGCTGTTCGCTTTTGCATCAGCATAGGGGGGTCTAGAGAGAAGAGTTATGAGACAGTGGCATAAGATTACACAAAGCTAACCTGTCGTGAGAGAGGAAATGGGAAAGAAGAGATCGAGCAGAGCAACTGCACTGTCCTCAAATGCTCCACTGGTAAAATCCTCATGTTAACTCTCACCAAAGGGCTTTGTTTAGATGCACTACCTTTCATCACGCTGCTGGTGATGTGAGAATAAATTTTATATGATTGTGTAGTATGTTTATGGTTTACATGATGATTTTGAGGTGCCTCAACAACCCTTTTTTCCCAAGCCTCTGTACCGCAGCTACTTCAGTACTGATACTAACTTGACATCATTGAAGAGCTTATGGTTTATATCTGCAGCAAATGGCAGCAATTTAAGAAACTTTGTGAGGGAAAGATCCTAATTCTGCAGCTTTAAAAACAAAGATGCATGGAAATGGAGCATCATTGTTAAAGGGCGAACAGAAGAATGAAGCTTATTTGAGGTAGAATGATGGTTAATTTATTATTGAAAAAGGCTGTATGAGTTGATACTCCCTCAGTACTCTCTGCTTTAGAGCCAGGTGATCTTATGTAATTTCTATTTTTTTTTTTTTTTTAACCAGGTATAATAATTTGTAACTTCTAGAAATAAAATAGTGAGAAGATTAATAGGCAAACTTAAATTCCTTGGACCTTTGTGCCCTGTGATGAGAGGTGGATGGGAAGGGCATTTGTGGCTATGTATTAGTCTGAGAGAAGTGACTGTGCCAAAAGGGTGAGTGGTAACCTTTTAAAGTTAAATATGTAAATAAAAGCCCAAGCTTGCTTAAGAGTAAGCTTTTAATTAAAGTGACGCAGCCTCTTGATAGAATTGGCCAAACCCACCTTACTATACGAAGATCCTCTTAGATTAGTATATATGTTGTTTCTTCCCTGTCTCTCTTTTTAGGTAAGGCAAATTCTGAAGCATTAGATCTCTTAAAATATTGAGAACGATTTTGTTTTCTTTACTTATTAAGCAAACCGGGTTGGTTTTTTTTTGTTATTTATAAATTACAAAACCAGAAGTGAAGTGTTGCTTCACAGGCTGATGAAGTAGCATATGCTGCACGTTCCAGAGTAATGCACTCATCTATTTAACCAGTTACATTTGCATTAGTGTAGGGACCTGTATTGAAAATCTAAAAAATAGGCGTTAGCTTTGGAAACTACCCCATGCCCCTTCTTAGCCTCAAATATACCTTTATTTTGTCTGCCATTTTGAAGAGAAAAGTTAAGGAGATGGTAACAACAAAACATCACCATAATTTGCGTTGGGTAGGCTAATGGAATCAAAAAGGGCAAAATGGTTGCATCTAGTCAAATAATGGCTTTCAGTGTTCCAGGGTGAGGGAACATAGCTGATTTTGAAACCTCTGTAATAGCAATGTGCATCTGAAACATTGGCAAGAGAGTCACCCACTGACCTCTGCTGGCATAAACCAGTTTGGTCTCTTACAGCTTTTTGCTAGTGGAGCTCTTGCATGGCCAGTGGCATGAGCTAGTGTGGCTATTTTAGAAGCCCTGCCTGCTGTTCTTTCATGTTCTTAGCCTCACAACTGAAACAGAGCAAATGATAGGGCTTTCTGTGTCAGGTACAGGCTGGCCAGTCTATGGTGTCCTAAGCACCAGCACCCAGGTAATGGTGGGCTGTGTTGGAGGTATAAGTAATTGTATAGCCTCCAAATATTAGGAGAGGATAGCATCACACTTTCATCTTTGGGTTGTACCTTTCTTCCAAATAATAAGCCTGGGGCTTCTTGATATGTATAAAAATCTCCACAGTCCCTTTGGGGGTGGGGCTGGCATCCAATAGGTAAATTGTATGTTTGAACCCAAAAGTAGAATGATTAATACCAGTGGTAGGAGTCCTGAAACTGGGAGGTGAGGGGGAAATTGAGAATCTTACTGTGACTCGTATTTATAAGAAGTTGTGGATACTGAATTTGTATGAAAACCCATCTAGAGCATAGTTCTACAGTCATGTTAAACAAGATCTACTTGTTGCTGTTTGGTACAGGCTTTCTTCTAGCTAGAATTGAACAAGCTCTGGTTGCAAGGATGGAAGACAGTTCTGTTATGTGAAAAAAAAAATAACCCCAAAATCATGATATGGTCAGGATGTCTGTCTCTTGGTAGGAGTACTTTGATAGTATTTGTGCTGGTTTATTACTATGTTTTTAGTTTAAGTGATCAGTTGAAATGTAGATCCTGCTGCGTTGAGCCTTACTCATGTAATCTTTTCCCTGGAGTAGGTCTGCAGGTAAAACTTATATCTCCTAAAAATGGAAAGAAAATGTTACTGAAATTATAGATTTGTGTTTGGGCCCAAGTTAGCTTTATATCCCTACCTGTCTTTTAATATCATTGCAGGCAGGGATAATGAAACTGTGTGTAGGTCGTACCAAAAGGTATAAGTAACAGAAGCTGATGGCAAACATCCACATTCTCTTTTAATCACCTATACAATAACAAAGCAATCCTGTTAGCACTCCTTTTGGCCTTGTTTTACCTCCTTTTAGTTTGAATGCCAGTCTAAAAGTGGTATGCTTGTGAGTTGCTACATAAACTGGGCATGCACAATTGACTGCCACCAGGGCTGAGGGTGAGAGGGC